AGCCACCATGCCGTGCCAGAGTGGGCTTTTAAAACCTGGACCATGCAGCTGGCTCCAGAGGCCATGCTCTTCCCCAAGATGCCAGACAACCCGGGACTCAGGGTCTGCGGCATGAGCGATGGAGTCAGTGGTGCTGCTGTTTCCTGAGATGAGAGACATCTCAGGATGCAGCAATTTCTGTGGCTCCAACTTCAAGATGATCCTGAATCTGACCTTTCCTCCATCAGTTGTTCTCCATGAGCCCGCCCTGCTCTCCGTTTCCACCTGTGTCCCCAGTCTATCCCCACACGCAGCCAGGGGGAGCCAGGGGACACCTTCTTCGGTCAGATGCTCTTGTTTTTGAGACAGAGTCTTGCTCTTGTCACCCAGGCTGGAGTGCAGTGGCATGATCTTGGCTCACTGCAACCTCCACCTCCCGGTTCAAACGATTCTCCTGCCTCAGTCTCCCGAGTAGCGGGGATTACAGGCGCCCACCATCACGCCCAGCTAATTTTTGTATTTTTAGTAGAGATGGGGTTTTGCCATGTTGGCCAGGCTAGTCTCGAACTTCTGATCTTGTGATCCACCCGCCTCGGTCTCCCAAAGTGCTGGGATTACAGGCCTGAGCCACCGTGCCTGGCCCAGACCCTCTTTTTCCCTCCTGTCGCTATTAGAACAAAATGGAACATCCTTGTTATGACTACCCTGCGTGAACACCGTTCACAACCTAGTACTTTGGGCACACTGGCCTCCAACTGTGTGTGTGTGTGTGTGTATGCACATGCATGCGTGGACAGGGTTGCTGCAGTGTTACAGGATCTTCTCGGTGAGTAGGTGACCTGGAGTAATAGGAGGTGACCTGGAGTAAATATCCAGAGGAGGAGAGGGAGGGAGCCAAGGACCTTTGGGCTGACAACTATCCCTCCCTCTTCAACAGCCACACACCGACTCCTTCACTTCCTTCAGCCACAGCTCAAAGGTCACCTCCTCAGAGAGGCCCTCCCTGGCCAACCTAGCTAAAGAGTGGCAGCATCCCCTGCATCCTGATCCCGCCTTACCTCTGGGCTGCATGGCTCCCTGTCCTATCGCTATGTCCTTATCTGCTTGAGGGCCTGACTCCCTTTCTAGAATGTGAGCTCTGAGAACACACGAGTTTTTGTCTTTCTGTCCACTGCTGGATCCTCTGTGCCTAGAACAGGGCATGGCACACATGAGCTGCTCAATAGGTTACCAATATAGACAACAGTCCCCGTCCTCGTGGGGAGGCAAAGGAATAAACAAATATTTTGGGGCTGGGCTTAGTGGCTCACGCCTGTAATCCCAGCACTTTGGAAGGCAGAGGCAGCAGGATCGCTTGAGGCTAGGATTTTGAGAACAGCCTGGGTCAACATTGCAAGACCTCTTCTCTACAAAAAATGAAAAAAATAGCTGCACATGAGGCTGGGCGTGATCGGCTGTACTCCCAGCACTTTCGGAGGCTGAGGTGGGCGGATCGCTTGAGCCCAGGAATTGGAGACTAAGATAAGTGAGCTATGATCGTGTCACTGCACTCCAGCCGGGGCGACAGAGCGAGACCCTGGCTCCAAAATAAAAAGTAAAAAGAAAAGAATATGGCAGGACAGAGAGGTGAAAAGACAAGCGGTGGTAGGAGCCAGATCACTGCCTGAGGCCAAAGTCCCCCTTACTTTTAACCAGCATGCCAGCTACTGAGATGACAGACATTTAGCAGTTAAAGAGCAAGGACTCTATGGCCAGGCAGCCTGAATTCCAAAATCCCAGCTCTGCCACTTACAAGCTGTGAGAATTGGGTAAGATTTTTGCTCTCTCTGGATCTGTTTCACCTTTAAACGGGGCTTATAGCGGAACTTGTCTTGTGGACTCTGATTGGAATGAATTGATATGTTTAAAGTGCTTAGAAAGGGGTGTGACACACCACGAGTGCTGCATAATTGTGGCCAACTTTTTCTTTCTCTATTTAGTAGTTCTACTCTATTACTGGGTCACGGCATGACCTGCTGTTTCTTCTTTCTGGCCTTCGGGGTCTTGCTGCTTAAAAAAAAAAAAGGACGAGATGGCTGCATTCAGCTGGGAGCTGAAAGATGGAGGACCTGGGCCCAGCACAGCCAGAAAAGAGCCTCATCTTTCTGTTCTCAGACATGACCTCTATGGGAGCAAGGGGTCAGGAATGGGGGCTGCCTCCCGTTTCCACATCTCCAGCACCCAGGAGGGGGCTCTGGCCCTGGACTGTGTCACTGAATGTTTGTCAAATGAATGAACAAATGAACAAAAGGAGGAACAGAGCAAGATGCAGAAAGAAAGGAGGAGGCTGGGCGTGGTGGCTCATGCCTATGATCCCAGCACTTTGGGAGGCTGAGGCGGGAGGATCACTTGAGCTCAGGGGTTTGAGACCAGCCTGGGCAACATAGCAAGCCCCGCCTCTACAGAAAATGAAAAAAATAGCTGTGTATGGTGGTGCACACCTGTGGTCCCAGCTACTTGAGGGGCTGAGGTGGGAGGATGACTTGAGCCCAGGAGGCTGCAGCTGCAGTGAGCTGAGATTGCTCGAGGGACAGAGGCAGCCCCTGTGTCAAAAAAGAAAGAAAGGGAGGGAGGAAGGGAGGGAAAAAGAAGGAAAGAAGGAAGGAAGGAAGGAAGGAAGGAAGGAAGGAAGGAAGGAAGGAAGGAAGGAAGGAAAAGAAGGAAGGAAGGAAGGAAGGAAAGAAGCAAGG